AGATTAGCTTACCAAGCTAACACACAGGGTTACAAATCCAGACAGAACTCTCACATACCGGACTTGTTTGGCTGCTTCAAGTATACAAGGCACAATTTTAAAATCTGGAAGCTCTTCAGGGGAGTCATCTGTAGATGGTCCCACAGGCTGACAAGTGCCACTTTTAATCCAGTTTAACATCACCTCTTCATCCAGATCAAAGAGTTTGTCCACCACTTCGCCCACTTTTACCAGCAATTCAACTGCACAAAAAAGAAGAAACCAAAAATCAAGCAAATAAAGAGCAGAAATTAGTTCACAAAATGCTAACACACAAAAGTATCCAAATAAATTAAGTGCTGAAATACATCTGTTTCATTCATTATCTCCTAAGGGTTGCTACGCTCGTGTGCTTTTTGTGGCACAAATGAGGTGAAAAGCTTGATAGATAGGGACTGCTGGAAAGCCCACTGATACATTAGACCCCATCATGCCATTTATAAAGTAGGAGCTTTTTTTGGTAAAGGGACTTCAGGTTTCTGAAAAGTCAAAACCTCTGCTTCTGAAATAAAACGTGACAAAATTTGTCCCTAAAAATGTATTTTTCGCCTGCTCACCTCCATTTTACTCGGGTAGATCTGGGATTTCAGTGGGAACAAGCATGACTTCCGAGTCATCAAAAACAAACAAAAAAACAACATGAAGTTGGCATTTTTCAAATTCTAAAAGCTAAATTAGCTGGAGTCCTGTACATGCACAAGAAGGCTGCAGGGTGACCTCATTGCAGCCTTCCAGTACCTAAAGGGAGCCTACAGAGGGGAGGGGAATCAACTCTTTGAAAGGGTTGATAACTGTAGGACAAGGGGAAATGGTTTTAAGTTGAGGGAGGGAAGATTTAGGTTGGATGTCAGGGTGAAATTCTTTACAGAGAGAGTGGTGAGGTGCTGGAACAGCTGCCCAGAGAGGCTGTGGATGCCCCGTCCCTGGAGGTGTTCAAGGCCAGGTTGGATGGGGCCCCGGGCAGTCTGGTCTGGTATTAAATAGGGAGGTTGGTGGCCCTGTGTGTGGCAGGGGGTTGGAGATTCATGATCCTTGAGGTCCCTTCCAACCCTGACCATTCTGTGATTCACTTTATATATGTGTATTTATAAATCCTGCAAAGGAGGGACAGATTTATGTTGGTGTCTTTCGAATTCAGGAGGCTTCCTTTAAAGATGAAATCTCGTACTCCCAAATGAAAGCATCTGGCTTTGTAATTGCATAATGCAGTTCTTATCTTTTCTGCAAAACATGAAGGCAAAACATTCATTCTCAGTGGCAACTCACCATTTGTAGAGCTTGACATGATAAAGCAAACACAGTCATACACTGAAGGGCTGTCTCGGATCCTCTCAACCCAAATGTTGGCCACCTCAGGCTGGGAGAGGCAAGTCAGCAACAGCCTAGGCAGAAATTGCCCACAGATTGTAACAGATCAGAAGCCAGATCACTGATCTTAGCTGTAGAAGTGTAAATCCAACGTAACAAGCATGAAGTGACAGAAGACAGGAACCAAGCCACAGAAAATCAAATCCAGAATAAAGTGGAAATGACAAAAGGATAGGATGGGAAGACATTAAAATTATGAGCCCGCTTGCAAAACTTTTTCCCAGGACCTCAGAACAGAGCAGAATTACACTAAGGATATGTTAATTTCTGAGATGTCCTACCTGCTTGTTTCCAGGAGAGTTGGAGAGTCTGAATCACACAAACGTTGCAGTAACACTTGGCTTTAAGTAGAAAATCCAAGATAAAAATATTAAGAAAAAAAACTTTTAATACCTTTTTAAAAACATACATTCCAAACTTAATTTCATAGCTGCAGCAGTGCACTATGATTAAAACTAGCTCTTCCTTACAATGCATGCATCACCGGTGCTTCAAGATTGCCAGGCTCAGAGATTGAAAATGCAAGAGTTTGACAAGTGGCTATAAAACATTACATCAATAACATCCAGTGGGCATTCATTTCATCTTCACTGAACACTTTCCAACCACTAAGGGTTTGTCAAAGATGTGTGAACAAAGGCAGTGCAAGGAAATTTAGTTCCTTTTGTAGTATACAATGTGAGAGCTTATAAAAGCAGTACTTAGCATGTATAAAGTACACACACACCTACCCGAGATTCTCATCTTTACTAATGGACATGCATATGTCTTGGAAACAGGCCATATTGCCCAGTATTCCCACACAGATCTCCTGAAAAGTCAATGCACAGTACAGTGAAATATCTGCAACACAGTTCACAATTTTATTTCCAAAGCCATAAGACATAAGAAAGGTTCAAAGCTGCTTTCCAGTTTGGTTTTCAAATACTTCTGACTTAGCAATGTCTAGATAGGTACAGATTTCCTAAGGGATGTTGTTAGGCTAGACTGAAGTACACAACAAGTACTGTTCAGATATTTAGCACAGTTCAGGCACTTCATAAAAGCAAATATACCTTGAAATAGAAGTTTGCTTGCATGGCACGTATACATTGTTTGGAAGTTAGACTAGCATAGCTATTATTAAAGCAATAACAGAGTCCTAGGGACAACAATATACTCTTATTTCCCCCTCTACAGAGGAGTCATATAATAGGTTTGATACCATTAGTAATGATGTGTATCAGCTTCATCATCACCAAAATAGCTGCTAACTGGACCATACTGAAGACACCGTGCTAAAAAGCATCCTAAAATTAAATTGTGTTTTCTCCTCGTTCTTCAAAAGTGCAGTGGGAGATGGGAGCTGTTTAGGAATGCTGGCACAGAGGTGTCTGCTGTTACTATTAGTACAGGCCAGTTTTTGACAGCCCATACTTACAGTCAGACGAGGACATTTGGATTTGGCAAAAACTCCCATGAATATATCGGGGGCATTGAACTCCTGAAGAAACAAAGCAACGTCCTGCGGAGAAAATGAACGACAGAGCAAATGAACCTACCCATTTCACAGTTTCAGAACACAAATCGAACCTTTTCTCACAGATCAACGACTGCATCAATGACTCGCTACAAAAAATGAGGCATTTATCTCATTGTGTGAATAAGCCCTGCTGCTGCCAGCTGAGCCAAGGCACGACCCGAGGGACGCCTGGAAGGCAGCTCAGGCAGATCACAGTAGGGGGCCGGAAGCCAGGACTGACAGAAGGCTTTTCCATATTGCTGCTGGGCTCAGAAGCACACAAAGCATTTGTTCCATCTGAAGAGAGCACTGAGTCTCCTCACAGAATCACAGAATGGTCAGGGTTGGAAGGGACCTCAAGGATCATGAATCTCCAACCCCCCTGCCACATGCAGAACCACCAACCTCCACATTTAATACCAGACCAGGCTGCCCAGGGCCCCATCCAACCTGGCCTTGAACACCTCCAGGGATGGGGCATCCACAGCCTCTCAGGGCAGCCTGTTCCAGCACCTCACCACTCTCCTTGTAAAGAACTTCCCCCTAACATCCAACCTAAATCTTCCTTCCCTCAACTTAAAACCATTTCCCCTTGTTCTGCAGTTTTCTACCCTTTCAAAGAGTTGATTCTCCTCCTGTTTGTACAGTACCATGGAAGAACAGTTTACAAGATACTGAAACGCTAGGGATTAATCTTAGTGACTCTGAATTATTCAATGCAGAAAACATACAAGAAGTTGCAGTAAATTTTAAACAAACAGTCCCAACTGCACCAGACCATGGAAGGAGAGTTTACACAATCTGGGTCTTGGGAAGGAGAATCAGCACAGGTCTCCCCTCTGCTCCTTCCCATCTCCTATTACACTTCATCCACTTCTAAAATTGAAGTATCTTTGATTTGGCACACACTAAAGCCCTGAAAAGCATTTGTGTCTCCACAGCTTAAGGCAATGAGGCAAAGGAGACAGGTCAGATGGGCAGAAACCTTAACACATAAGAAAAGAAACGACATCGCCTCCTGGATTATAAGCACTACTTATTTTCCTGCCCTACAGTATTCTCAGTAAACTTTTTATTGTTATGCCATTCCTATCTCTGATTTTATATCTTTCATCCTCAAAATATTTTTTTTCCTACTTGCTGCATTAACAATAATAAACCACCATATTCTCTTTTTATCTCATAGCATACTTGTCATTCACAACTACGAAATATGCAAGAACATTCAAAAGTTCACAGCATGCATCATTCTGACACGGCTTCTGAATTCCTACCAACAAAGGTGTTGTTGCGTTGTTTCCTCGGTGCCGGGCACCTCACCTGCTCTGCTGGGAGACTCCGAGGACGCTGCCAGCCGAAGCAGAGGGGCGGAACCGCCTGAAATACCTTCAGCCCGCACCTCCACTCAACTCTTTCCCACAAGACTTCAGACGGATAAAACTAAGGGCAGCGGTAACACGGCAGAAGTGTGACCGCACCGCCCAGCTCCTACCTCATCCATGGACATGTCCCACACCTTGCAGATGTCGTTCTCCATCTCCTCATCCAGCTCCGTCTGGATCCCCTCAGGGTTCTCGCTGGGCTCGGATTTCTCGGGGCTGATGAGCTGGAAGGGGGGGCGGGGGTTAAAGGCTACGAGAAAGACGAAGAACCGCCAGAAGCCCAAGGAGCGGCGTGTCCCGCCCTCGCAGCGGGCTGACGGCTCCCGGTCAGGGCAGCGGGCCCGCTCACGGCCCTCACGCGCTGCCCCCTCAGGAGCCGCGGGCCTCAACCCTCGCCCCGCCCCACGCTCCGCACCTCGATGAGGCGCGTGAGGATGCTGAAGAGCCAATGCTTGCTGTACACCGTGCTGCCCACCGCGTCGCCCTCCTCCTCCGCCTCGCTGGAGGGCGGCGATGGGTTGCGATCCATGGCGCCGGGCCCCGCCGCCTCACCGGCACCAACGAGACGGCGGCCAGAGCGGCGCCTGCGCTCACGGCGCCCCACGGCGGCCCCACAGCGCCACCTGCCGGCCGGGACTCCGAGTCCACCTCGCCTCCCTCCCGTTCCCTGGGAAGACGCTCGAACGCAAGATAAAGCAGATGACAGCAAGTCCTGGAAACGCAGCAGCTTCTTTATTGGTCTGCACAAGGGAGGGGGAACAGGGGAACGGAGCAAGTTCAATATTTATTGGGAAGGCCTGCGGGCCTGTAGCGGTTGGGATCACCGCCTCTTCTGCCCCATTCGTTGGCCTCTTGGTCGAGCCGGGTGTCCTCCGCGCCTCTGCCGCTTATACCGCTCTGCCAGAGCTCCCGGGCATCGCTGCAAGGACAGCACTCCTGAACCGCCGGCACCCCGCCGGCACCCCGCTGCCAGCCGCGGTCCTGCCCCATGCCGGCTCCCTCCCTCCTGGAACAACATTCCCTCCATTCCCCTTCTGGATGCAGAGCTTCGTGTGTACCGAGAAGGATTTCGCTCTGACTGGGGCGCCTGGATCCCTACTTACTCCCTGTTAACGAGATGGATGCCGTTACCTGATCGTTTTGGCTGCCCAAGCACCACCGGGTCCTCGCCGGGCAGCATCGTAATTGCCACGAGCATGGAAATACTTGTCAGCACCAATGTAGTTTGCGTCACGCATGTCCCGGTATGCTCTCCACATATCCTGTGTGCCTGGAGGACAGAACAAGGTGACATCAACTTTGATGTCCTGTTCCAGCAGCAGCCAAGCAACCGTTTCAGCCAGAAGCCCGTGGCTGCTGCTGGGCCAGAAAGCCCCCCGTGTCCCCAGGGATCCCTGTGTGTCCCAGGGACTCCACAGAAAAACCTCTCTAATCAACCTCTACTAAAGGAGGGAAGGTTAGCAAAGCAGAAGAAAAGGGACTCCTTGCGGAGAATTTCATGGAGACGTGGAGGCTTTGCTTGGCTCTGATGCTGCAAGGGCTGGAGGAGATCTGTCTCAAAGCAAGCTGGCAGTGACAATTTAGATCTGTAGTGTGCATTAGAGAAGGGACCAGCTTTATTCTGAGACTTTAGCAGTAGAGGGTTTGTGCACCCACTTGGTCCACAAAAAGCGCTCCATGAGCACGTGCCTACTCCTGCAATCCTTTTTCAGCTGCAGGGGTGTCCCTGAGCTTGAGCCCAGGCCTGCCATATTCTTTGTGCTGTGCTTGGAAAGACCCAAGGAACACAGAGGCACTTGTCCAAATGGGCCTTCCAGTGGGAGATGCCAACTGAAAGGGCCTGTGGAGGCTGATCAAGGTCCTCTCCCAAAAGCAGAGACCAACAGGGTCCCTTATGTGGAGCTACAGACCTCCTTGACTGGAGGACTGCACGTAGCCTGTGCTCAGGGATTGGGTCCTGAGAGGAAGACCAGGGGTGATGGAACAACTTACCTCCAGCTGCATCCTTCATAAACTTGAAACCCCTGGAGAATGGGTTGTCAGCACTTGCATATAGAACAATGGAGAGCAACACGAAGAAGATACAGAGCCTCATGGTTCCCTGCCCAAACCTGACACAGAGCTGTAAGAAATTAAGAGAGATTAGCAATTCTAGAGCACCTCTTAGAGATTTCTGGCCTAACATTCATCACATCCAAAGCTGTGCCCAGGCAGCTGCAGGAGCATTCACACAGCCACCCCAGAGCCTGCCTAAGAGCTCAGCATAGGACTCCTCAACAAAGGCAGACACACAGGAGAAATCTGCATTTTAGCATTCCCTGCTGCTTCTTCCATGAGAGCAGAGAAGTCCCACATGCTAAAACATCAGTCCCGTTCCCAAATACCAAAAACAGTGCATGCATCACATAAATTCAGAGTATCACTCACCACTGCAGAAAGGCAAAGCCAGGAGGCCAGGTGAAGTGAAGCCCGTCTTGTCTGCTTTCAGAAAGGGTATTTATAAGGGATTTAAAGCCCAGAAAAGAGGAAATTGAAAAGGATACCCAGGGCTGGGAATTTCCCAGTACCAGCCCACTTTCAACACAGAATTGCAATAAGCCTGCCCTTGTCCTGTCTAAAAGTTCATGAATCTGTTACACAATTTTTTGTAAAGTGTACAGTACTTTGTTTTCACAGGAAATTTGCTCCTCATAGCAAGCAGATTGAGAAACTTCCACAAAGACTGAAGTGTTTGAAATGTTGTGGCTGACTTCAGTTTTTTTGCTCTTATGCTAGAGTGAGCTCAGAGGAGAAGCTGCCTGATCATCTGCCTTTATCTTGAAGTACAAGATTGGGTCTGTGCCTTTGCACGAACATACAAGCTTGGTTTGTATGGCCAGGTTTTGGTATTAGGGGGCTATAGGGATGGCTTCTGTGAGCAGCTGCCCCATGTCAGATTAAAGCCAACTCCAGCTGCTCCAAAAGGAACTTGCTGTTGGGCAGAGCTGAACCATGAGTGACACTGAGCATGCCTCTGGGAGAGCAGACTGAAGGAAGGGAAAAAAAGCTGCACAAAATCAACTGGGAGAGGAGAGTGAGAAATGTGAGAGAAGCAGCCCTGCAGCCACCAGAGTCAGGGCAGGAGGAGGACAGAAGGTGCAGGACAGATCAAAAGTTCCCTGCAGCCCAGGAGAGACCCTGCAGGAGCAGCAGTGTGTGGAAAGGAGCCCACGGTGGGACAGGAGGGCTGGGGTAACTGCTCCCTTAGGGGACACATGCCCCATGGCACTGAGCCATTTTGGAGCAGTGCTTGAAGAGCTGCAGCCCGTGGGAGGCCCATGCAGGATCAGTTTGGGAAGGATGGCATCCTGTGGGAGGGACCCCATGTTGGAGCAGGGGCAAAGAGCAACCACGGAGGAGCAGCAGAGACAAAGCGTTATGGATCGTCCACAGCCCCTGCTCCCCTGTGCAGCTCAAAGGGAGTAGGGTAGAAGAGGGTTGGAGGCAGGTAGGAAGGCGATTTTAATTTGCTTTTTAGTTCTCACTGCTCTAGTTTGCTAGCAATAGGCAATAAATTACATTAATCTCCCTTGCACTGAGTCTGTTCTCCCTGTGACAGTGGCCGAGTGAGCTCCCTGTCCTTTCTTCAATCCAGGAGCTTTTTTTCATAGTTTCTTCTGTCTTTTTGAGGATGCAGAACAAGGGAGCAGCACGGTGGACCTTAGCTAGCCAATGCATGAAACCGCAACAGGGAATGGTCACTGGCATTACCAGAAATGCTGCAGTAACTGCTAGGTGTTGGGGGGACAAGATGGATCCGAGATGACAGAACCTAACTCCACTGCATGCTGCTATATCCTTCTTGGCAGCACTTTAAAACAGTGCATTCTCATGCTGCCACAGAGAAAGCTCATTCTTCCTTTGCTTGCTCCCACAGACTCCTCTTAAGGAGCACGAGCCATCCTGCTTCCACAGTGGCTCAGTAGAGTCCCAGCAGGATAAAGGAAGGAGAGTAACGCAGTAGCAAATGTTTTAATGAAGGGGAAATTCAAAACCATATAGCCAAACCTCTGCTCAACTGTAAGAATAGCACATTAACCATCAAGCCCTGTTGGTGTGGTTCACACCTTGAGCACCCAATATCCTCCTTTTGTGTTTGCACCAGGTCAAAAAGTGCTTGACGCCTGCTTCCCTTGTTCAACAACCAACACGATTCCTCTGCAGAAAGCTCTGGACAGAACATGCAGAATGCCTCCCTTTACACAGTCTCATATGTGATTTAACAACTACAGAGTTCCTTTAAATGTTGTGCAGAACAAGTATGTGTAGCTGTCCCATTCACAATTCTGTCACTTAGTAAGTGGCTGGAGCTGAAGCGCTGGAGCATGAGGTAAAAGAGGTGCAATAACAAACAGGGCTAATAAAATACCAGCAACTATCTTCTTTTCCTTGGACATCTCTGACTCCAAATAAAAACTTAAAGGAGTGAGAGACACTTTCCAGAGACAGGCCTGGAGCAGAAGGACATAAGCTCTGAATAGAACAACTTGAGATGAGGAGAATCTATATCCTAATGCAGAAAGGAAAATTTTGCAAAAGCCATGCGGCGGACTTGCCTGTGCCATCCACGAACCTCATACCTAACATACACCTTAGCTACTGTAGTGACTGCAGTGCTGTTTTATTACAATTGTGTTTAAATCCTACAGATGACTTAAATACCTTTCAGCACCTATCAGCCCAAGTTCCTTGTCTGCTGGCTGCAAGCTGCCCCATCTGTCTCCTCTTCAGTTTTAATTTAAATCAAGTCCCTGCTGGAAAATGATTCCTTTGAGCTTGGATAGAACTCAGCAGAACATAAGTCACTGTGTCCAGGGACCTGGAAGGCACCCACAGTACTGACCTAAGGAACTTTCTGGAGCACAGAAGGCATTTCTGAGTTTTTAGACCTGGTCTGATATTTCACATTCTCATCAAACCACTGTTTTCTGAAAGTGGCAAAAACATGAGGATAACTGCAACAAGATACGAACTGGCCTGGAACTTTAGACTGTGAATTGCTTATTCCTGACTGCCTGGAAAGCACTGCTTTCCCAGTCACAGCCCTTGGCCCACAGAAGCAAGCTGCAGCCAACAACTGCTACCTTTGCACAAAGACATGAGCAAGCTGCCACGGAGGAAAGAAGGGTGGAATATTCCTGCCTGTATGTTAGGTACATTTAACTTACCTAAGACTGTCTTCTGACTTTGGATGTTCTGATACAATTAAGACTAAAGCATAATTTGGAAGCTCTACCCCTCAAACTGGCCTTCAATTTTCACTATCTGTAAATGCAGTCATTTCGCAACCTAGGTATTTCGCAATCTAAGTCAATAAGCCTCTGAATGGGAAATATAAGGTGAATTCCCAGCCTAGGCACAGCAGCAAATGCTGTTTTTCTATCTTCTGGGAAGTAAGACGACTTTGTCTTAGCTTACCCAAACAAAAATACACCTTTTTTTTTTCTTTTTCGTAATGCTGCTCTGCGCAATACTTGCTAGCATTGGTGCCAGGCTTGCAGAACGATTGCAAGCTTCCTAATTTTGTAAGATACAGATTGCACACACAAATATGTTTATCTTTAATAAAACTCGTTTACCAGTAGGTTTTTGATGATTCTAACAGTGAAGTTGCATTCTGAGGCAGGTTAAGGACTTCTACTTAAAGTTGCTCTGTGCAAAGCCCCGTTATTCATTTCTGCTTCTTCAGGGTCCTTGCTACCAACAGCCAGCAAAACAAGAGAGGAACCACAGCCCATCTGCTTCAGTGCAGGCAGGCTCAACCCATGAGTGAAGTATGCTTGACTGGTTGATGAGAGGTGGTAGATGGCATCCCTCAGGGAGCCTTCTGATGATGGCATTGTGCTGTACAACTGAATTCTAGATATGAAACTATTTCACATTGTGTTTAACTTTTCTTCAAGAATGAACTCTTTCTCTTTACTGACAAGTTAACTGAAGTCATCAGGACTTCAGGCATCAGATTTTAACAAATGCTTCCCATTATGTTAGCTGCATGACTACTCCAACACAAAGTTAAGGAAAAAAAAAACCAAAAAACTTTAAATGTAAAGTTATGATTTATTGTTAAAAAAAAAGAAAAAAAATCTACACCCCAGCCCTCACCAGTACTGAAGTGTACAAAAACTTCACAGAAGCAAAAAAGAGATTATGTATACAATGTACACAGAATAAAGCAAAGCAGTTAAGTCCAGAAATAAGGCAGCTTCATTGTTATGAAATCAGCAAAATTCCCTGTTAAGGGCAGCAAGAGCACTCAGCTGAAGATATGACACACTGCAAGAAACAGTTAAGCCACTGAGGTAGCAGCACATTCACTTGGCAGGTAGGAGAATGTGACCTATTTAACCTCCCTACACTGCAAGTGCCTGGGATGTATTCTAACAGTCTTACCATAGTGTAACATGAGGGTGTGGGGTGTTTCTGACAGAAGGATTTGGGCTGTTTCCAACGTCAAAACATAGAACTGAAAACTTCTTAACTTTTCTATTTTAGCAGTACCTTTTTTCCACAAGCAACGTTATTAAGAGATGAAAGCCTGCTACTAATTCTCTATCTGTAGCTTCATATCCTCTAGTGAAATAAACTCCTCACAGTAGTCTTTCCTGCAACCGAGACGAAAAAGTCAGACCGTCTGAAAGCTGTATTACTACAGTCCTATCTTGACGAAAATAAAAGCATTATTTCCCAACAGTATAAGAGCTGCAAATATAGATAAGATTATTCCTAGATCTTCATAAATATTTTGAAATCATTTACTGACGTTATGGATTCGGAAGGATTAGAACTCAGTTCCAATGCAGGCATTAATTCATCGTTTAACTGATTTTTGCAAACATCAGCTGCTGACTGCAACCTTCTGCTAAAAGGGTGAGAACGTCACAGAGAGAAGGGCCAAAACCAGTGACCTACACCAAGATCCGTTCAAATATGTATTTAGTGCAGAGACCATGTTCATACAAACTAAATTCTGTAGATGTGAAATTAAACCCAGGTGATTTTATAAGCCTTCATATTCATATTCTAGCTGATATTCAAAAAGACTTCCTGCTTGGTGGCATCAATTGAACAATACTTTCAATGTTCAGGGCTGTTTCTTTTTTCTTTTTTCCAGGGTTAAAGTAAGGTGAGGTCTTCTTGCTTTCTAAAGGTCAAAATGCATTGGGGAATACTGTTGTCCTGAGCTTTATTGAAATAGCACAGCTGAAACCTACAGTCACATTTTGCAAACAGCTGTGGGCAATTTAGAAATATCTTACAGTTCAACAGTGAATTAATTTAAGTGCTATCAATCAATTTCAGAACTATTATCCATTCTGAAAAATATCAACACAATTTACAGGAAAATAAAAAAATGACATGCTTGGGTGTTTCTTAGGAACAGCTTCTCATGTTTGCAAACGAACAACAAAAAATAGTTTTATACATCAGAACCTGATTTTGGGGGATTCGTAATCTTAACACTAAGGTTATACAGACTCAGAAAATAAATTTTCATCCCAGAAATACACCAGCTCAATTGTGAAACAGACACTGGATTGTTTTTAAGTTTTAGAGTGCAAAATTCATCTCCAAAGGAAGAAGGAAGAACTGTGAATGGCTTCCACTCAGATAGCTGCCAGATGGACACTGGCTCAATACAATCAAATCTTTTGAGAGAAGCTCACTTCTTTAAGAGCCTGTGAGTTTCAGAGGCACTTTAACATACAATCATTACAGTTCCCAAAGCTTTCCCAGCCATCTCTATGCTTGCTGAGACCACAAGAACCGGTCACACTTGTCCAACATGGACAGAATCAGGGCTCTGCAATAAAAGCAAAGGAAAAGTTAAACAGTATAAAAAGAAGCTAACAACAGAAAGAACAACACTTCTGCTTTTTAAAGCAAAGTTTATCAGAAATGCAATTACACTTCAGAGGTGACAGCAACACGCATGGCTTCTTTCAAGGCAAGCAGCAGGGCTCAGTAAGACAGACATCTTCAGAGAATCTTCCTCATGTATATCTAGTTTCCTACTTCCCCTCTTTTCCCCCCTTTTAAGGTGCCTATATTGCACAACACACAGTTCTTAAGAGGTAAAACTTTCAGCTGAGTTTTACAGTCAAGAATTCAATACAAGAATGAAGTATTTTTTTTTTAATCCGTTAACTACAAAGTTTAAAGCACGAAGATCTCAAATAAATGGTGTGCATACACAGATCTTCCACTGATGCATCATCTTACCTTTGCCTTTTCTCAGCAATTTTCAGTATCTCACAGACACCAGTAAATCTTTCAGACGATTCCAGCATCAAGCCACACTCTTGTAGCAGAGGCAAGGCACGATTTGGGCCAATGGCCTTGGCTAATAAAAGAGCTACATTTTCCACAGTGATGCAATTTGGCCAGCTAGGGCTACCACTGTTGCTGACAGCTTCTCCATTCTGTGGGCCATCGTTGTGGAAAGCACTGTTGTGATTTTGTGCAAGATGCAGAAGAAACTTCCATTCTTCGGTGGTCTCTGGAATCGAACCTGGATGCAAAATGAGTTTGTTACGTTACTTGCAAAGCAGTTTGTTACAAGCCTACATTTAAACATGTCTGTAGTTTAAAAGAACATAAGCTACTCTGTTCTCCTTTTGGAGACGTAAGAAAATCAGCATTATAAGTGAAGAAATGTTGTACAGAAGGGTACTGCCTTGACTGACTCCGTTTAAAAATTCAGTGCTGAATTACATGCTAAGTTTTGCAATGCTTCACTATTTAAGGCTTTTTTTGAGTCAAAAAGCAAATAATTGTTTTGTCCATCTTTAAGAGCATAACAGCCATTTATGTTTTTCAAATATGCTGCAGTACACTCAGCTAGTGGA